ATAAAGGTGTTCCTTTCTGGTCAGCTGGCTTATGTATGTGCAGAGGTAGTGTCCTTAGGAATAAATAAGAGCCTGACTTTTGGAAGTGTGCAGGTAAAAGTAGTTTTTCAGTGTTTGATATAGCAGCAGGGCGCTTTTACTGGGGGAGTTGTACAGAGACATAAATCCTTAGGATTAATTTTCCCCAGCACATGCGCTTGCCTCTGCTTTTGTTCCTAAATGCATTTAGTTGTTCACCAGGCAATTAGAGGAAGATGTGCTCATTTCACACTCCCAGTTGACTTGGTGGGTGGGGAAGAATGTCATTCAGTGCAAAGCATTATGGTTTTATGCTCTTTCCTTCATGAAAAATCTAGCCAGGGACTAGGGGATAGACAGAAACCACCTTCTCTTTCCTACTTCTGTATGGTGGGCGATCATTTTGAACACAAAGGGCAGACTATTACTAAGGCGATAGTTGCCAAAATTAAAAATTAGGAGATTTTATATTAAATGCATTTGACTTCCGGATTTTCTTGAAAAATCATAAGTTGTGGCTACCTGGGACTGCGTTGCTTTGTGGTGTGGTCTTGAGTCCTGTCTTCTACTTTTTGGCAGCCCCTATCACCGGTATTGACTTTAAGGACCATCACTGCAATTTATTTTTTAACTTCTTCATGATCTAGAACAGAAACTGTCTTTATTAAACCCTATCTTCCCATTCCCCTTCTTTTAGCCCCTGATGGCTACTACCCTCCTCTCTGTCTCAGAATTTGCCTATTTTAGGGCCCTCAAATAAGTAGAATCATACATATGTCCTTTTGTATCTGGTTTACTTCATTTTACATGTTTTCATGATAGCCTCCCCGCTACACACACTGGTACTGGGGATTGAATCCAGGGAGTGCTGAGCTACACATTCTCAACTCTTTTTATTTATTTTTATTTTGAAACAGGGTCTTCCTAAGTTGCTTAGGCTGGCCTCAAACTTGTGACCCTCCTGTCTCAGCCTCCTCAGTAGCTGGGAATGCAGGCATTTGACACTGTGCCCAGATTATTTTTTTATAGAGTTTACCTCTTGGAACACAGATATTGATTTGTATTGTACGTTAAAGGAGGGGCTTCATTTTATGAGAAAAATAAAAGATCAAACAGCACAATAAGTTTGGGATGGAGATTCTTGAGTTCTGACCTTAAAGTGATCCTCCTTTTTTCCATATCAGTACATGAAGGTTTTAAACATGCAGTATTTAGGCAGCCCAGTGTCCACACAGGTGTTTTATAACTAGTGGTTAATTCTTCTGGTATCCCCCAGAGGGCTTTCCATATTTTATAGTCAGGATATGAAGACACGGAGATGCTGTGGGGATTAGTTAAATGTGTGTGGCATAGTTTACTGTATAAACTCACTCTCTGGAACTAGTTTTCACTCCTTTCTCTTAACTTCCACAGCTTTTACTGTCAATACCATTCATTTAGCACTTAGCATGTGCTTGTTAGTTGGCTCTTTAAGTATATGTCCAGGAAGGCAAGTGCCAAGTCTCATACTTCTTTGTTTTTTCAGTCCTGCCTATAATAGCAGTTCAATTGATGTTTGTTGATGTTAGCCTCCCTTTCCCCCTCCCTTTTAAGTAGAGCAGTCAATGCATAGCTTTAAATTCAAACTCAGTTTAAACAAACTGAAAGATTTTCAAGGTAAAAACACAGAGGAACTCTTGCATGGCAAGAGAAAAAGAACACCTAAGAAGTTTGGAAGACCTTGGTAAAGCAGAGGTACCGGGAAACTTGTTTAGCACAGATTAAGAAGTGACTCACACATGGGCTCATTCACCCTTTAGAGCTCTGTTAACTCTACTCCATCAAAATTCAAATTTGAAAAATAGTCATGCCCAAGGCAGTGTTTGAGAAGGGGTATTGAAAGAGCTATGTTTTAGAGGTTTGCAATAGCTGTGGGAAGACAAGTTGGAAGAGGGCAGCTTCAAGGTGGGGTTAGAAATATTATGAAGCCACCAGGCCTTTCCTAACATGATTTCCTTTTGCAGTATCTTCTGCAGAGGCACAAGATAGAGAATGGCCTAAATCCCTTCTTAATCGGGGAATGAGTAAAATAAGTTTTGCACTTCTTTTGCAATGAGATACTGAGCTATCACATAAAGGTAGCTATCCTGAGACAGAAGGGTATTTAAGACACATTGATGAGTAAAAAAATGCAAGGTCTACTGCCACTGTTGGTCCCACCTGTAAGGAACAGGAAGAAAAGCAGGGTGGTAGAGAAGAACTTGACACTATACCCTTTCAGTATGGTTTTACTTTAATTTTATCGTGTGCATGTTTGTCTTTTTTCATTTTAACAGCACTCTAGAGTTTAGCAAGGACCCTGCTGCCATTGTGGTCAGTAGTAGTTCTCTAGAGCCACTCTAACTCTCTAGTCCCACCTCCACAAGACTGGAATAATCTTGTCTCACAAACCAGGTATCTCCATGTCTCAAATAGTCAACAACTCACCATCCTCATGAAGAAAGCACCCATTTTACCTCACTTCACACATAAAAGGAATTATACCAAGAATTCATTTTGCTGATGTTCCTGCTTCTGAATCAGCGACTCCTAGCAGAGCATGTCGTCTGCCCACTACTTTTTCTGCATCCACAGGAATATTCTGAGACCCTGCTCCCAGTGAGCTTGTGTTTCCTTTGAGCGTACTTTCTTTAGCATGCCTTGACCCACCACCTCTCAGAAGGCTCCCAACAGACACACTTGAATTAGATGTTCGTCCTTCATTGGCATGAGTTTACTCTAATAGCTTTGTGTTGTCAAGGTATTTACATTTAGGCTTGCTTCCTACTTGAAACATTTTCTAGGAAATATGGATCTGTGGAGAATGGTGGTTTCCATGGTAAATGTTTCCTCATATTTGTTTTCTCAAGTTCAAATCGGAGATACACAGCATGATTTCCTCTTTAAGTACCCGCACCACAATAGATTTAGGTCAAGGCGCAACTACAGAACTGTTTAAAAAAGAAATCTCACACACCCTGGTTAGAAAAGGGGCAATTTATGATTCTAATTGAAGGGAACCAACTGCACATCCACTCTGAAAATTGTAAGAAGAGTTGACTTTTTAAAATAAAGCCACAAAAGCTACACAGCCTTGGATGTAAATGCTTAAAACAGACAAGCAGACTATTTGATTCTCAAACACTTGTGAGACTGCCCGCCATGTGCCATACACAAGTAGAAACACATACATGTGTGGAGTGCTTTGTGGTTTACAGAGTCTCACATACATTTCATTTTATTTTCACCCCAGTGCCATTAAGTTAATAGGGCATGTCTTAATAGCATTTATTTACAGATAGGAAAATTAAAGCTCAGAAGTTAAGCCACTTAAAAGTCACACAACTAGCTAATAAGTGCCAGAGCCCACAATGAATTCTTCCTTTGGTTCCAAATTCCATGTTATTTTGCTAGCCCTATACTGTTTCTTTGTGCTGTCGTTTTCCCAAATGTAGAATGGTAGATTTTCTGTTTTGCAGGATGCTCTTGTACTTAACCCTGAGGGTTCTTAACCAATACCATTTTTTCGCAGCCAAGAAATCTGAGTGCTACATTGACACTTCACGTACTTTTCCTTCCTGGTTTAATGAAGTAAGAAGGAAATATTTCCTATTCCCAGAGGGCTGGACAGTGCAATAAACATAAAGGTGTACCGAGTCAGTCGACACACTGTCGCATTCTTTTACGAGACTGAGAAATCAAGCATCTCATCTTTCTATTCTCAGCAGTCGCTGGGGGAGAACGGAGAGGTAGACAATAGCCTCTTGTTTAGCTTTATTAATTTTGAGAGCGGGTGGGACAAAAGGATTGGATTGGCGGCTCGGGGGACCAATCATACGCGAATCCCAGGCCAGGACTGGCCAAGGAATAGCTGTAAAAGAATGGTGGGCGGGTGGGAGTCACACTTCAAGGTCCTCCCCTTCTAGGCCTGAGCTCGCCGTCTGCCCAAGAGGCGGGGAATCCTCAAAGCCCCTCCCACGACTTTCCAGGCCTCCCGCGCCCGGGCCTGGGGCAGGCGGGGAACGGGGAGGGAGAAGAGGGAAGAAGGGGGAGGTCAGGGGGAGCGAAGGAAAAACGGAGGGTGTCTCCTAAGAGCTGTGGCCTGGGTGGGAGCCTGCTGGTAATAGGAAGCAGGAGGGGAAGGAAAACGAAGGAACGCTGCTCCTTCCTGAATTACTTTAACTAGGCTTTGGTAGAAGCTGCTTTTCAGCATTTCTATTATTTGTTTTTCTTCCTCCCGCTGCGGGGCGGGGAGCTGCAGTGGCTCTCCCACGCGGCTCTGCTGCGCTGTTGCCATAGGTTATTATTGTAGTCTTTGCAAAGCACTTTCCTTCCTCCAGAGCAGTCCCTGGGTAGACTCGCGGGGCTACCCCAACCAAGTCGTGCTCCGCTGGTGGGAGGACAACAGCGAGGGTCCCCCACTTTTGCCGCGCTCCAGGACCCCGCCGTTCAATTGTTTGAAACTTCCCTGTCCCAGGCCCCGCCACTCGCGGGGCCCGCTCCTCACCCCCACCCCCACCCCCACCCCCACCCCGAGTCCGGGCCGGCTCCCGCCCTTCTGTCCCCGCCCTCTGCTCCGCCTCCCTCAGAGTCCACCCCCTCCCCGCCCCGCTCCTGGGCGGTCCTAGCCGCTCACTGCCAGAAGAAAAGCCACCCATTCCTCCCCGTCCTCTGCCTCCCATCCTTAGCCCCAGAGCTGCCTTCATCGCAGTCACGCCCCTTCCCTCCGAGGAGCTTTCAGGCTGCCTAAACCGGTAGACCCCTGAATTACTCCTCCATCTCCGTTCCCTTTCCTTTCGCCTCCTCTTCCCTCACTTCTCCCCGCCTCCCCCACACTACCACCACCTCCAGTCTGTCTCGCCTCCCACCGTCCACTGCTCCACCCTCTGGCCCGGTATCCTGTCTGTCCACTGCCACCAAGGAGATCCCGGACGGAGCAGCGAGAGGGAGCAGCCAGGAATTGGGGCTTTCCCCTGCCCATCCCTGGCCGCTGGCCCGGGACCAAAGCCACTTGAGCAAGCAGAGTCGTCACCTTGTCTTCGTTGCCTTCAGGGGTAGGAGACGCGTGGTTACTTTTCGTGGGGGAACCTGGGCAGTAATCTATGGTGGCATGAACTTGGTTGCGCCCGCGGCGTGAGTCGGTGTACATGTGTGTGGGGATGACCGTGTGTTGTACTTTCTGCAGCTGCTGGTCATGAGTTTTCTGGGATGTGCAGCCAGTTAAATTAGTTAAAGAGTCTGCACCCCTCTCTTCCTACTTCAGAGAGGAGATGCTAGAGGGTAGCACTACTTGATGGTACTTTCACCTTGATTCCTGGGGTCCTTGTAGGTCTCTAGGTGTATGTAATTAATCACGTGAGCAACTAAAGACCTGAGGCAAGCTGAGTTTTACCTTTAGCAACCACGAAAGCTCCCGCTTATCTTAGATAACTAGATGGCTTTCTCCTAAGTGCTTGGGAGGATCACCCTCCCTGACCCTGGGGCCATGTATGAATTCTTCAAATTTTAAAATCTGGGAGTAATCTACAACACAACACTGTTCTTTGCTAGTGTGATGGTGGTGGTAGTGAGGAGGGGGGATGCCCACAGCTGCTTTATAAGATCCAGGACACAAGTATTTTGGTGGATCAGGCAGGTGTTTAGAGGGTCCGAGACTGTGCTGTTGTAAGTTGCTGCTTGAACAGTAAGATGGATCTTATGGATATCTGAAACGGAAGAGAAGGAAATATGGGAGGGAAAATGACGGTCTTTATAGACTGTGAGCAATCCCTGGTAAATTGCTACTAATAATATTATACTAATAATTTGCGAAGGGATAGTTGAATACAAATTAATGAGAGAGGAAAGGGAAAGTTTGAGAAAAGAGTATTTTCAATTTACAATACATGTTGTAGCAAGAATTTTTGGACAACTTGAGATGTTCAGTCTGGTTCTCCTCTCTCCTGGCCATGAAGAGTAGATGTTGGGAGGCAGTTTAAAACTTAAGAGTATGACCTTCTCCCATTCAGTGGGAAAGATTATTAGTCACCCTAATCTTCAGTGATGAAGGACTAAGTGTATTTAAGTCTCCTTGAGCAAGGCTTTGTGAAAGTTCTTTCTCAGGCCAGCTTTTGTGAAGCCTCCTCAGTTAGACCTTCCAGTACCCTCAGTAGCTAAGAATAGCCTGAAATGCTATTTTGGACATGGGATAAATTTTCACCCATCTCCTACCTATCCTCAGTTGGACAAGCACATCAAACTTATAAGAATGGTAATGTTCAAAGACCTGTTACTGTGAGAGGCCAACTCCTTACTTAGATGGAAGCAAATTATTTACTTCTAGTTTAAAATAATTTCTTTGTTTGATTTTAATGGCATAAAGGTAAGCAGGAAGGTAGAGAAGCCACTTTACATGGCGACAGTTTTAAAGGCTATCATGTTTCAGATCAGCTGGGAGGGAAAAAGCTGGCCTGACCAAACTACATTTTATAACTGGCCTGGGACATTTTAATAGCCAGGTGGTTGTAGAGTAGTTGCATCTATTTACAGATGATAACTTAGGTTCCAGCAATTCTGTATGGGTTTATCCGGTGTCATTTACAGACACTTTCTGGTGCTGCATCACACTTCATTTTAAGCTACTTCTCTCTTTGGAAAAGGTTGTGGCTCTGTAAAATTGAAAGTACATTTTTTTCTGACTTCATAATCTAGGTGTGAAGTAAGCCTGTGACCACATTTGTATGTAGAGCAACTTTTATGTGACCTTTGTGGATCTGCTTACCTATTGAAACATTTTAGAAAGGGAATTTTAAAAATTCATATTCAGTGTTGTTTGGGCTAGTAAAACCTCATTTCTGATGTATGAAGTTGCATTATTAGACTGATGCGTAACTAAGGCATTTTGCGGAGTTGTTTTTTCTGAAGTCCTATAAAGAACGAAGCCGACTCTTTCCAGAATGCATAAAGAATCTTCTAATGGGAAGGCAGAGGGATGGATGCTCTGACTTTGAGGTCCCGTTGAGTGTCAGAATCCTAAGTGGGTACATCTGCTTCTGGGCCTCTCCTAACAGCCCGCTCCCAGGGCCTGCGCCTTCTTTAAAAGGGTGTCTTTGTAATTAAGCAGGCCTTCACCCCCAGCCCTCTTTCTTCCTTTGATCCAGTTTTTTAAGGCCTTTTTTTCCATTTGGAGATAAGAGGAGTTTCTCACACTCTCCTGCCCTCCTCTTAACTTTTCTTTTCCTTTACCCCAGAAAAGTGTCCCAAGTTCTCAGGGTGGTTAGAAGTTGTTTTGTTTTGTTTGGGGCAACACGGTGTGTGGGGGGGGTTACCAAGGAAGAAGAGTTAAGGATATATCCCCTCTTGGGAAATGCTTGTGACCAGGTAGCCTCCTCCATGGAGACTGAGCATTTGGAATGCATGAGAACAGTCTATTCTTAGGGGCCGTCTGGCAGAAATTGTCCTTTGCGCCCATTAAGCCCAGCTAAAACCCACTGAAAGGGGTGGAGAGAGGTGTGTGTGGTCGTGGCTGAGCCTTTTAGGAGGATAAATGGGTAAATGTTTCCAAATCTCTTATTACATCACCTCTTTCTCCCGTGGATTTGGTGAGTTTAGAGATCTGCTTAACAAGTTAATTAGCTGGGGACTAAACCAATTTGTTTAGAACTGTGATCCATTGATTTCCTGTCCCCAGGAATTTTTGTTGGTGTTTTACTATGATGTGTTGTCTTTAGTCTTACTTACTTTTCATTTCTTGCTGCCTTTTGTGGACTTTGGTCCAAAATCTAGTGTTCCACCCTCAAGTCAAAGGTTAGAATTTGGTTCCAGGGGCTAAGGGGGGCATTAAACAGTCTGGCCGTACTTCATCACTCTCCTCCATGGTGGGCTTCTGACCCTTTTTAACCCAGAGAAAGGAGGAAAGTTGCCCCTTATACGTACACACACACACACACACACACACACACACACACACACAATCTGAAGAAAAAAAAGAGAAAGAAAATAAGAGGTGGTTTACTTTATATAAGGATCCATCACAGGTTACTTTGAACGAAATAGCTTGCTTTCCTAGTTAGTGACTTTAACCTATGATGTGATATATAAAAAATCACTATAACGAGGCCTTGACAGGAACATACTTATTGCATAAAGGAATATATTAGAATTTGTTGTACTGATTGCTACTTGAATTAAAAGAGGTTGTTATTTGGTTTTTGAAGTCTGTTTGTTATGTGAGATGGAGTTAATTATCTAAATTATTGTAGCTTGCAATAACACTAGCCACAGTAGCCGTGGCCCACAAATGCCTGTAGAAGGGGGCTAGCACTGCCTTCTGGATTAGATCAGACTGCATGGGTTTTAAATAAGTCTAAAGATGGGACTACCCACCTGATTTAAGTGAAAGATTTTACTTCCAGTTATTGTATTTGACTAACCCAATGATTCAGAAAATTGTTTCTAGTAAATCATGGCAACTGATGCCCATTCAATCTAAGAATCTATGGTAAGCGTTCCTAGTGAACCTATTGGTAAGAGAGACCTAGGCTCTAGATTAAGTTCTAACCTGGTTTACCACCCTTGGCAAGTTTTCTCCATTGTGAATTGTAGAGGTCCAACAGCATGATTTTGAGAACCAGCTCTTAAAAGCTTATAATTCTCACTCTAGGTTTCAATATCTGGTGTGAACGTTAATGATTGCTATTAGAATGAATTGCGTCAGTTTTTAGAAATACACTTAGTTATCCTGTTAAAAACAAAAGAGCTCGTAAGGATGTATCAGTATAAATGCATTGTGTTTTATATTTTAACAACATGCAATTAAACCCTAAGGCCCTGTCCAAAACTTTTATCAAGAATTCCATCATCCTAGCAGATCACCTACTTTCATTTTTCTCAGTTCTTTTTAAATCTTTGTTACTGTACTCACATGCATTTTACATAGCTAAGGCCATAGGAATATAGGATGCTGTCTTTAAATTAGAGCTCACTTAAGACATAGTTTTGTAAACCTGTGGGGAGAAACAGAATCGGGATCAGTGAATATGCAGGAACCTATTTGTTTCTTGAATGCCAGCAGAGACTATTTAGTAAGTAATTCCTAGACACTTTGTGTGGTAGGGTTGTTTATATACCTAGCAAGGCTGCTAATTCTATTCTTTTGACCTCCTTTTACTCTCCCGCATTCATTTGAAACAACAAAACAAAAGAAAAACAAAGTAGGAGTCCACTGTTTACTTTGTCTCTATCATTGACAGTGATTCTTAAATCACTATATCGTGATATCTCATCAAGACAACACAACTTTAGGTAGAGTGTGAAAACTCCAAAAGGAAAAAGGAGAAGTGGGAACGCACGGATATGCTCGTTTTATAGCTTTGAAAATAATGTGCTTAAATTATGGGAAGGAGATCAGGTGGGAAGGGAGAGTGGGTAAAAAGATAGGTTATATGCTTGTATCAGTTCCCAGAAGCAAACTTCAGTATTCTGTATTACAAACATGCACTATAAAAACTAATATGTTTAAATAAGAGTGAAAAACTGTAAAGAAATTAAGGATTATAGACAAAGAAAAGACACGTATGTACAGTATCGTGTCCCCCACACAGTGGGATCTTCCTCTGAGGTCTGCAGGGTATAGTGAAAGTTTAGTTCCATGGACTTTTAATTTTCCTTTGAGAACAACGAATAGCGTACATGGGAGCTCCAATTTGTGATGGATTCATTCTTGGTAACCAGTGGTTTATCATAAATTAAATAATTTCTCTATCCAGAATAGAAAAGTAAGATACATTTGTTTTTTGAGCCAGGGTCTCTCTATACAGTTCAGGCTGGCCTTGAAATCACTATGGAGCCCAGGCTGGCTGAGGTATGATCCTTGCTATTTATGAAGTGCCAAGTGAAGTAGAGGAATATTTTTTTTGTAATAAGTGTTTATGGAAAAGTACAAATAGATTTATTTGTTAATATAGCCTCAGATAATTCTTGAAAAAATATACTTTTCAAAATGCAGCAGGCTTGCCTAGATATTTGTGAAGTCACTTTCATTATTGTCCCAGCTCCATGAAATGGCATTAACCTATGTGACTTGAAGCCAGGATCTGGATTTCTCTGCCCAGTCCCTTTCTGACTTGCCATGTGATCAAGGGTACATGAATTAGCTGCTCTAAGCTCCAGTTACCCTTCTGGGAAGCAAGGATATTAATACTTCACAGAGGTGTTTAGGCATGCTTCATATTGGGCATATGCTTTGAGGTCATTGGATGAAAGGTGTTTGCATGATGGCGGAGCGGGCTTATTACAGGGTCGCAAGCAGGTGTTCACTTTTAATGAGCTTTGCTCTCTTGTAACATTCAGTGCCCTTTGGTACTCCACTGCCTTACTGCCTATAATTAAGATTGGCCCCAGGTTCGTATTATTGACCCTCTCAGCTTTTTGAAAAACAATTAAACATTTTCATACTCGGTGGTAACTTGAGGTGCAAGTAAGGAGACTTTAGTGACAGCCAGAGTGACGAAAAATAGCTTCAAAAAGAGACATTAGCTGGAATGCACTATAGCGAGGCGGTGATCAGTGAGATCTTCAAAGCTCCTTCAAAATGTTAAAGAGTAAAACAAACTTCTGTGTATGTTTTAACGGAGAAAGTTTTGAGTAATATTTGCCTCTGACAAATACTGATGATAGCCAGTAACTGAAACGCGGCCATTGTAGTGTTTTTTCACAGCTGGTTTTTATTAATGATGGAATATTTATGCTTGCTGTACAATTCGTGGCTTATTTCCATGTGTATGTCAGAACTTAAATACCCCCCAAGGCAACATTAAGATAACATTAAATATAAATGTTGCCAAACTAAAAAGGGTGAATTTTTGCCGGGGGGGGGGGGCGGGCTTCTTTATTTTTACTGGTGTTGCTTCAGATCACAATAACTGCCCTCTCCTTAGGGCATTGATGCTGATCTTTTTTTCCCCCTATAATATCTCATAGCAAACTTTACATTTTGATCCTTTGATATGGACAAATGGTCCACTCTCCCCCTTTATAATGCAGATGAAACTGATGTATATGTTTTTAAGAGCATATTTTCCCTGCACATGCTTCTCATTATCCAAGAGGCCTGGACTCAATCAGTAAAGGAGCAGAGAAACCACATAATTGAAAGGAGAATGACGGTGGTGCATACTTGGAATATTTGTGGGAAGGGGATTGCTGACATCAGAAAATGTAGTGGCCTGAGTGTTAACAGTATTGAAAAGAAATCAGCTTTCTGTGTTTCTGTGTATTGAGAATTATTTTTAAGGGGATAAGAATGTGGGCCAGGTTTGACATCCTTTTATGAAGTTGCCCTGGAAACTTTGATGAAGGTTGTTATAGAATAGCTCAATTAAAACCTTCCCCATTAGGAAGCTAATTAGTGAATCCTTTACTCATTTTGATCCTTTTCAAGGGGCATAGATTTACATTGAATTAGTGACATTTTTTCATGTGATGGCAAACTAAGATAAAAATTACAGATGGGGAAAATTGTTTAGATTGCCTATTTTGAAGTAATCTAATTTCCTCTTTAATATATTTTAATTTTTTAGTTCAGATCTTTTCTTTACCCCACCTATATACAGTGATCACATGTTAGTTTAGTAGCCAGTTTTACTTTACGAACCATGGTCTATAAACCAAGGTATATTAAATTTTTGTTTCCTGTGAGAATTGGAGAAATACCACTAATCATAATAAACCATTTCATTAAGGTAATATTTGATTTTTTTTTCCTTCTGCAATTACTTTCTCTTTGCTGTGTGTGTGTGGGGGGGGTAGTGGGAGAAAGTGGGCCTGGGAATGGTAGATTGTTTTTTAAAAGCAAATGTCTTTTGGAGCTAAGAAAAATACTGATGACCCTCTCTACCCCCTCGAGCATTCTGTGCTCCTCAGTCTGGTAGGGGCATGTGATGAGTTTTCTGACCTGGTGCTTTTTGTGATCAAGCTATGCACTTCTTCCTTGGTAGCCTGAAGAAGAGGGATTACAGTGCAAATAAGATCACAGGATTCCTAGCAGATTCTTTCTACTCTACACCATTTTTAGAGGGGATGAGTAATAGCTCCTGAGGTTTCAGGGTCATTTGCAACAGAGTAGATGCTCTTCAGTGCATTATATAATATGGTCTGCTAGTGGTCTTCCTTTGTTCCATAACTTATACAGGATGGTCATTCAGTACCTGTGTTCCCTGATGCTATTCTCATGGTATGTGCTTACACTGGTTTCTGCTAGTGGGCAAGTTGGCTGGTTGTATGATTTGTGGCTTCACTGATCTTGCCGTGGTGCTTGGGAAGGCAGGATCTCCATTCAGTTTTGCAGTTGCGACTCAGTCAAGCCAGGCTGCAGGTGCTCCAAAATCAGCAGCAGGAGGAGGAGGAGCTGCTTCTGCCTTGGGAGGGTGACTCAAGCCCTTTGGCATGAAGATATGAAATGTTGGCGCCTGTCCATGCACCTGCTGGATGCCACACCTGCAGGCAGCATCTGAGCCCCAGTCAGAAACAAAACTCAGGCTATAGGTAGATGGGGCTCCCTAAGAAAGGGGTACAGCAAAATAAGAAGTGTTCAATTATGTTACCAGAGTACCCCTGGGAATTATATTTATCCACCCCAAAGCTGGCCTGGGAAATGTCTTAGATTTTTTTTCTAGGTGCAGCACACTCACTTGCTCAAGATCCTGTAGGAATGCCGAGGGAGGTTGCTTTTGGAATGAATTTCTCTTGTGAACTGGCCTCTTAGAAACCAGAGAGGCAATCTGTGGAGGGTTTTGTCTTATAACAGGACAGGCCAGAGAGTTACAAGACCTAATTTCTCATCCTGGCCCTACCAATGAATGACAGTGAATCTCTGGTGAAATTAGTTAATGTTAGCTATCTATTCCAGACTTGAGCTTCTCCAGTTCTTAAATGGAATTAATCACATGTGCCTTTATTTCTGCACAGAGCTGCTGAGAAGAACAGGAGGGAAGGGGCTTTTGGCTCCTTAGAAGGAAGGCTGAGAAACTAAAGGTAATATTGTTATTCCATGTGTTTCATTCCTTCTCTTTTGAAGCTGCCTTTAGCAAAATTTTGGGGGATTTGTTATTGACTCAACATGCAATTATTAAGCATACTGTATGCATCAGTTAATGTTTTAGGTATTGGGACAGATACTGAAAAATCACACAGGCAGCCTGTGGCCTGTACAGTCTGGCAGTCTAGTAATTTCTACTTCCATTTCTGGCTCAACCCATTACTGTGATTCCTGCCTGAGCACTTAGAAGCATGACTAGTGAGAATTACATTTTTTTCTCTTTGCACTGCAGCTAGGGCCTTCTGTCTCTGAAGTAATGCACTAGTCCAGGGTCTATATTGAAGGTGAATGGAGAGAAAAGCTATAGGATAAATGAAGGAATTTCTCTCTCCAGCACATTTGGAAAGTGCCTGATCCTTGAATGATCATTTTTTCCAGCCTCCTCTTAGAACCGTAGTTGTCTCCAATATGATAATGACTGTCAAAGATATATCTCAGCCTGTCTTTAACATCAAGTTGGTCACCAAATTCCACGTTTTCTACTAAGCCCAGAGGTTTTTCCCCCTCCAGGAAGCTTTTTTGGAGAGTTCGGAGTCCTCTGTACCAGAGCTAGGGGCTCAGAGCTCTGTTTCTTCATTGTTTTGTGCCACCTCTGCTTGCCTGGGAGCTAATGGCGGACTGGACTCTGTTTGCTTGATTTTTTTCCCCCTATCTTTTCTCTTTTCTTTTTTTGCCACTCAGCACAGTGTCTTTCCACAGTAAGTGCTCACTAAATGGCCTGTAGAAAATATGCTGTGATCAGTGCAATAGTAGAGAGAATAAAGGAGTCCAGAAAAAGAGGGAATTCATTTTCCATATTGAACATAGTTGGGGCAAGGGGGGTTGAGTAGTAAAAAGCAGAACTTCCCTTTTCTGAGAGTTCTGGCAAAGAAGCAAGGGAAACAAGTGCCTGTCATGGCCGTTCTCACTAAGCCAGAGGCACCTCTGGTTTGCCGCCTCGCCTTCTCCCCAGACTGGATGACTTTTATGATTGAGTCTGCAAATAAATCTGTCGATAACACATCAACCATTTAAGACAGGTGCCACTTAGTTATATAATATCGAAAAGGGCTGACCTTAAAAGTGTCACCTTAACTGAGGCTGTGAATAAAGGTACACACATCACACAAGCTCATTGATCATGCATGTTTAGTTCTATATAGCAAAATGCCTTGTGGCATATGTGGAAGAGTAAGATCTGAAAACAAGCTAAATTCTCAGTGTAGCAGATGGGATCACTAGACCTGAATGTCTTCAAGATGACTCTCAAATTTGTCCAAGGGCAAAAATGAAAGATGATAGAAGCCATTACAGGCTGTGAACCTCCTTTCACCCACCTGATGCTTTTACTAATTAGCTTCTTGGCCAAATGGCAATTTGGGGCAAGTGCATGCAAGCTGGATTCACAGGGGAGCCCGCATTCCATTCTGCCATTTCGTAAGCTACTAGGATACTGCACTGCTTCTCTTGGCCTCTCTCTCCCTGGAGCCTAACTCTGCCCTGGTGGGGAAATGGAAGCAGGAGAGCTTTTCATTAAGTGAGGGAGAGATTTCATGGAGCTTTGGCTTTTTGCTAGTTTTATTTTTCTAGTGGGTTGTCTAAAAACAGTCATACTCCTTGACCCATTAATTTCCCTTCTGGGATTCCATCATTAGGAAACACTCCAAAATACTGAAAAAGGCTAAATCACAATGTGGTTTTTGTAACATTATTTAGACTAGCACAAGATTGGAAGCCATTTCCAGGTCTTAATAATTGGAGATTGGGTGAGAGAATCTTGATGCATTCATTTTATGGACTATTACACAGATATTAGTGTTTGTTAGGGAGTCAGTGCCACAATATGGAGAAAGTACTTATGATAAAGTGAAATAAATGCAGGAGCTGAAATTATATGTACATTTTTTCATTGCTCTGTAAAAACATATAGGAGGAAGTGTAGGGAGTATTCTATGCTGTTAACAATGTTTGAATTGAGGTGTTGGGATTATAAGTGATTTATTTTCTTTTTTATAAATATTTGCATGCTATGCTTATGTGACTTATAAAATAGAGTGTGAGGAATAAAAATGGGATTGTACTTTGGAGTCAAGGCAAATGTAGTAAAGCAAGAAGTTTCTAGGCATAGTCTTTTTTTTTTTTTTTGAGACAGGATTTTACTGTGTAGTCCAGGCTAGTGTGAAACTTGCAGTCTTTCAGCGTTCCTGAGTCCTGGGATACCAGGTATGTGCTCCTGTGCCTTTTCTTAAGTGTTTATTCTTAAACATTTCTCGGGTATATTCTTAAATGTTTCTCATGTTGTGGTCAATCTGATTTTGTGGGTTCCTTATACATCTTCGGACACAGTAGGAAACAGGGTATGATAGCGTGGTTTAGCCCTCTGGAATGAATTTGTGTGGCAGGGGACGGAAGGGGACTGGCAACAGGTTTCTCCCTCTTCCTCAGTATTTCACTGCTGGCTTCTGCTTTAAGGTCAGTCACCTTTGTAGCCTATTAACATGCTCCAGTTGTCTGTGTAGGAGCATAGTTATGTAAAATTGGGACCAAAAGTAACCAAGCCTTTGAGTTACCATTGTAGAAACATATCTCTGACCCTGACCCTCAGCAAGATTTGGAAATGCAAAGGCCTTGCTCTATTTCCTAAAGTAATTTTGCAGCCCAATCTAGACAAATGTAGAGATAGGAGCAAAGCGTTGTGGCCAACTCTTTAAGTCTTTTCTTAAACTAGGACACGGTTAAGTAAGAGCAAATGCCAAGCAGTTATCACGGATTTGTGAGACCTAGAATAGGGGCCTGGAAACATTGACCAGTGAGAATTGGTGTTGCTTTCATATCTTCCTGTATGTTTTGGCCTAAAGAAGAGAGATTTTACAAGGATCTTCTGTCATACTGATAGCTAAACACTTCCTTCATACCTGTTTAAAGTCTCTTGCCACTAGTGTTTTACTTCCAACAGAACTGGAAAATTGGTGGGAGCCTTAAGCCAATTTATACTCTCTTAAAAGTGGGATTAATTCAATTTAACATGTACTTATTAGGCATCTTCTATGTACAGGTTCATAATGCTAGATAATATACTGTACAGGAAGGGCTCCTGCTCTAGAAGTTATTAAACCTGCATTCTGGTGCTGACTCTGAACCCTTTTAAGGCTTGGCATCATCATCGTATAGAAAGAAAGGAGTGGACCACCAAATCATCTCCGAAGAGTCTTTCCAGTTCAGGCCTTTGATGGTCTAAGGACTTCTACACAAAAGACTGAGTTGTAAATAAAGGTTTAAAAAAAAAAAACAAACAACTTTACTTCATATCATTGCTACAGTCTTCTAAAGAAAAGCTACTTAGAAGTTTTACTTACAACAATTGCTAACTTTTATTGAGCCTTTACTATGTGCCAGGCTCTGTGCTTAGCACTTTATATGGATTACCTGCGTTAATCTTCATAGCTACCCCATGACGTATGAGTACCATTGTCTCTATTTTGCAGATGATACAGTTGAGACTGAGGAGGCCAAGAGACATGTCTGAAGTCAGTAAGCCACAGAGCAGGATTTGTACTTGAGCACTCTGGCTCTAAGCCTCTTAACCATGACTTTTATACTGCCTATCCGTTATCCATCAAATGTTTAGGGATAACCCACAAAAGGAATATTGTTTTTCACTTCCTTAAGTAAGTTAATTTGTATTCTGGGTTGAAAAATTGTGAGGAAAGGCATATTCTAGGATACTTGGGTCTGCAGGCTAAGAGGCATGAGAATTCACTGGGGCTTCTCACTTTCTGTGAGAGGGTGTATGTATGTGCCTGTGTATGCACATGCATGTGCGTGCATATGTGTGTGTGTTCACGTTCACAAATACATAGACACAGTTACAAGGAAACTTTGAACTGGCTCCTTTCCATTTAGCTGGGAGTAAATCTGTATGAAACAAGTTGACCCACATCTAATGCAGAAACAGTTTTTCTAGACTTATTGTCATCCTGGTTGGTGGCCTGAGGGGTGGAGGAAGCATGGCAAGAGGAGGTGGCAGAAAGGATAGAAAGGAGATCCTACAGGCATATTGCAAAATTTGTTTGAAGGTTGGAAATTTGGTTTGTCCTGGGTACCTTGTAATGTTGATTTTTGAGGGACTTAGCTTGGGAAACATCTGGTCTCTCACTAATGTGTTTTTGGCTCATCCTGCCAGGTATACTGGGAGAGGCTAATGACTGCCAAGTGGATAAGAATTTAGCTTGGCTTTGCTTCCCTGTTGTTAGAGAAGAGCTGAATATAAATTCGTACTGCACTTTTAAAGACAGAAGTACACCTATCCTTTCTTCTTCTGTGGGATACTCTGATGGTCAGTCTGCGTGTCCAGGAGAAACAAGGTTATTTATTAATTGAAGGTGATGTCAGACCCCTTGTAGTTGCATGATTAAAGCTGTGAGCGCACCACAAGTTGCAAAATTCATACCATTTTAGTTCTTGTGCCTGAGACAAGGAATCTTTTCCTTTCTTTTCTCTAATAAGTAAACGGAGTTGTGTTCTCCTACTTAAGTGACTTGTGACATGCAGGAGCATAAGTTCTTTAAGAAAAAAAGCAGTGACCTGGAGAGGACTCTGCAATGTTTCTGTCTTGTGCTGATTTCTTTTCCTCTGTTAAACAGAAACCAAAAATGCCTGGAGTGGGGGAGGGGGAACAATCTGTGTCCGGTTAACGTAAAGTGATTTAGTTTTTGAAAAGGATGTGGACGAAAAAGAGGACAAAATTAAAGGAAGAGCGTAAGACTTTGGACAGAAAACATTTCTCAGTGAGGAGCTAGTTGTCTCGAGAAGAAAATCACAATCGGCACGAGGAAGAGTCTAAGTAGTTCTCGGAAAGAACTGTGTAGTGGTTTCTCTCTAAGGGCTCAAGTTGAAAAGATTTGCACTGTTTTCTGATGTTTCAGCTGAAAAAAAAAACACAAATGTTTTGTTCAGAATCGGACAATAGAAACATGGTGATTATTTACCATAGTTCTGTTAACAGTCCTGCTTTGATTCCAATTAAGAGTTGTTCCGCTGCTTTGAAATTAGGGGTAGACACCCTAAAATAATTACTTAGCAGATTGAAAATGACTTTGCCTTTGATCCCGATTTTACATTGGGGCAAAACAAGATGGAAAGACAAATTTCCATGTTTGTTTATTCTATGTCTGCTCACTTTATCTTTGGCAACATTGTAAGGAAATCATGTTAAATTCATCACTGTGTGGTTTTGTGATTTTTTAAAAAGAAATCATGAGCATTTTGGGCATGTCTCCAAAATACAGAGATGTTTGCTCCTCTGATGGAGACTTTGGTGCCAATTAAAGCTTTTCCTTTATTGTGAGATGAATAAGGAATGGCTAGGTCAGAAATGGTTCATGTGCATCTCACCTACACAAACTCCCAAGTTTTGTAACCATTTGATTGGACCTGGAGGGCTTTTTAAATGGTTAAAGCAGAATTTAGAAATGAGGACCATCTCAAATACATATCTATGGGGCGTTTGCTGCTCATCCAGCTTATACGAGTCTTGTAGATTCCCTTTGCTGAAATTTAGGAACGAGAAGTGCTGAGAAAGCAAGTAGGAGCATCTTGTTTTTGGAGAAGGGCTGTAGTTCTGGGTTGAGAACAGTGGTCAGCTTTCCTACGCCAGCAAGCATGGGTGGGCCGTCAACCAGGTAATCTGACTGTAAGCTCCATGAGGGCAAGAACTATATTTTGTGTGTCTTTGTATTCCTCACTGTGCCTAGCATGAGGCTGGCAAATGTCTGGAATAGTCAATGTAAAAATAGTAAATGGCTTGGCTGCAAGAAGTTTTGTTTTACTTTGCCCGTCTGAGGCCAAGGCAGTCACATCAAGAACTTGACTCACAACCTACCTTGTGACGACTGCCTTCCCTGATGGAAGTTAGGGCAGTGAGCCTCATGCGCCTGCCCTAGTACTGATGGCAATGTAAAGGTTGTACCCTAGCATGACAGCAGTTATGGCTGTTTTCATCACCCAATATTCCAACTAGGATGGCCTTCCAGGGCTGTGAGCTTAGAATAGAGCAATTCTTTGCAGTGTCAGACCTGAGCATTTGCATCACCTGGAGACTGGCATCACCTCCTGAACACAGCTGCTAGACAGTGAGTGAGGTTTCTTTTCTGTTGCAGTGAAGATGGATTCTGCCATTCATTTAAAAGCCAGGCCGCTTGGGAGGACAAGTCATTCCCTTGGAAGGAGTGGTTCAGTTAATTGCTGGCTGTTGGTGGCAATATAGAAACAACGTTTTTATTTCTCCCTCCCTCCCCCTCCTGAACATTTCAGAGTGACCAGTGGTTGGACTCTTGGCGGTGCTTACCCTGAACCTGAGTGTTAGGGGAGAGGGAATCTGCCACTGCGGTTTCTGGAGCTGCTCATAAGCAAGAGTTCCCTATCCTGATCAAGGCTTTAAGCCTAAAAGAAAGCAGAAATAGGTATGGACTATTGGTGTGTATGCGTGTACGTGTGTGTGTGCACACGTGCGTGCGTGTGTCTGTGTGTATGTGCTGGGTGGGGTGTGTGTGGCATGGGAGGGGGTGGCACACTTTTCTCTGTCTGGGGCAGCTCAATATCTGCATTTTCCCGCCTTGTAGAAAGAGGTTGGAAATGATTTCGCTTGAACTACAAACATTCCTGTCTTCTTTTTTTTTGCGAGAAGTAGTTTGGTAGTCTTCTCCAGTTTCATGCACCAAACAATTTATATGTTATGATTGTAAGCCCAGGAGAAAATCCTACTTTGACAGTTTAAATGCAGGAATCCCAGAGGGCCACTGGGAGGCTGGGCGAGGAGACTAGAGGGCACGTTACTCGGCTTTTTGGTGGTTGGCGTGTACGTCCCTAAAGAGTACGATGAATGGGATTTTAAAAGATTTTTTGGAGGGTTAGCTGTGGGGCCAAACTGCTGCCCAGAATTGGAAACTAGGTAGTGATAATCATCAAGAAGTGAAAAAGGAGAGAAGATGACCATCTGCATCTGCCACACATATTCTTGGTCATTCACTGTACCACTAAGGAAGGGGTTTCATGTTTCCAGAAAGATTGCAGGCTGCTTAATATAGAAGTGAGGACCCGGGGGGCCAGAAATCCAGGATTTTCATTTAGTAAACCTTAGGCCGGTTAGGTTGACATTTATTGTTACTTTTTGTGTGTCATTATGTCCATTCTCACCAGTAACACCAGCTTTTTAGAGCAAAAGTTTCATTTTTCACAGTAGTTTAATTGGAGTACTTAATATGAAAGATTCTCTCCAATGTATTTTCGAGTCTCTAGTAAGAGGGAAGGGTGTGTGTGACACCCACCACTCATTTTTTTAGATGACAAAATAGAGTCAAGAAAAGAGGAATCATTTGTTTAGGTTACCCTATAAACCAGTATTATATTAGAATTTGAATCTTAAGTTGTGCTGTGTTACCTGTTTTCCCCAGCCCATATTACATCCTTAGCAGAATTGGTGGTGGTAGTGGGACTATGCTATCATACCCTTTCCAGAAAGATTTGCAAACATTGTCAGATGTTCACTTCAAATGGAGAGGCACTTCCCCTTTAAGCTCCTCTTAACCCAACAACAACAATATAACAAATCTCAGTGAATATCCCTGAACAGCTGAAAGAGAAACTTTGTTAGTAATACTTATTCCAAGGCATTCTGTGATTAAGCCCCAGAGCCTCCAAAATGAACAATACCAAAAAGGATTTAAAAAAAAAAAAAGATATATTTCAGAGTTGTATGAGACCTGAAAAAAAGATTTGCATCAACTTAAAGATCATTTCTTTCTGGCCAAGCTCTCTTCACCTTTTATTTATTTTAGTTCTTATTTAGCGTTTTATAGCTCCCATCACACACCAAATTGCTTTACAAATGCTGTCTATGGGGTAATGCTCCCCACTGTCTGGCCCCTACCTCCACAGCTGTAAGACTGGGATTTTTTTATTTACATACAGTACAGAGAGATGAACCACGTGAGTAAGGACCTTGGAAAATTGCCCACTCTGATCACTCTACTTAACTGCCCTAAATTTCCTCAGTCCTGTTAGGAATTAAGTGAAGATTGAACATATAACTCATGCTAAAAGTGGAAGAGGAAATAGAGCTCTTATGCCTCCACATTCCTCATCATATTGGTGCTAAAGCCAGGAATCCCAGCAATTGATCTGTTATTTCTAGATTCAGTTCTCTACTTTGTTTCTGCAATGGAATCCTTACCCCCAAATATCCATTTTCTTCCCCCTTTAGAGGACTGATTTATCCATCAACTGGGTGTTAAGCTTCCTGTTTCCCCTTCCCAGGTCAAGGGCAGCCCAAGTGCCCAATTTCTCTCTCTCTTCACAAGGCACCACCAGCGATAGAGATGAGAAATTCTGAAGAACAACCGAGTGGAGGGACCACAGTATTGCAGCGTCTGCTACAAGAGCAGCTTCGCTATGGCAATCCTAGTGAGAATCGCAACCTCCTTGCCATCCACCAGCAAGCCACAGGGAATGGCCCTCCTTTCCCCACTGGCAGTGGGAACCCAGGCCCTCAGAATGATGTGTTGAGTCCCCAAGACCACCACCAGCAGCTGGTAGCACACGCTGCTCGCCAGGAGCCCCAGGGCCAGGAAATTCAATCAGAAAACATCATGATGGAGAAGCAGCTGTCTCCCCGAGTGCAGAATAATGAAGAACTTCCGACCTATGAAGAAGCCAAAGTCCAGTCCCAATATTTTCGCGGCCAACAGCATGCCAGTGTTGGAGCTGCCTTCTATGTCACTGGCGTCACCAACCAGAAGATGAGGACCGAAGGACGCCCATCAGTTCAGAGGCTCAATCCTGGGAAGATGCACCAGGATGAAGGACTCAGAGACCTTAAACAAGGGCATGTCCGCTCCTTGAGTGAACGATTGATGCAAATGTCACTAGCCACCAGTGGAGTTAAGGCCCATCCACCTGTTACCAGTGCTCCCCTCTCCCCACCACAACCCAGTGACCTCTACAAGAATCCCACAAGTTCCAGTGAATTCTACAAGGCCCAAGGGCCACCTCCCAACCAGCATAGCCTGAAGGGCATGGAACACCGAGGCCCCCCACCAGAGTATCCCTTCAAGGGCATACCACCCCAGTCTGTAGTGTGCAAGGCCCAAGAGCCAGGGCACTTCTATAGTGAGCACCGCCTGAACCAGCCAGGGAGAACAGAGGGGCAACTGATGAGGTATCAGCATCCCCCTGAGTATGGAGCGGCCAGGTAAGAGCGTTCCCTTTCTGTCATTTCCTGACCTCATCCCCAACCGTACTCTTCTGCTACATGTTGAGAATCTTAAGGGAAGGAATGGGCAGGTATTTGGTTTTACAAATTCTGCAATGCATTTTCCCTCCTGGATGAGTAAATTGCCAGTCAACCTGAATCTCTAGCCTCTTCATCCATAATTAGCACTGTATTAATGGTCCCTTGACTTTATAGGATGGGCCTGGCCTAGACTGCCAAGGGGCTGAAGAGGAATAAAAGTCTTGATTTTAGTAGCTATTTGTTGTTTTGTCTCTTAGGGTTTTGAAAGAAGGGTCCATTTTCCTCTTCTTGTGAGTTATTAAGCCCTTCCCTGAGAAGCAGAAACAAATTATCTTGGACTTTAATTAGTGTGCCGCATCCTATCACTTCCATGCATTCCCCTCCATAAACTCTCATCACTTATACTTGCCAACAAATCTGTTTCTTGTTAGTTGTGCTTTTTCTGTTGAATTACTGTGATTCTCTTAGACATTACACAAAAGGCCAGATATTATGTTGGGGGGAACTACATACATGTGCACATTTGCAGTGTTGTACTTAGTACCTTGTACTTTCTTGCAGTTCATGAAGTCTGGACTGCTTTGTCTTTCTTCTTCAGAGAGTTTGTTAGTTGCCCGTTGTGTTTCTCAATGTGTAAGCATATCATGTAGAAGTTTTGTCTAGGTGACAAAATGCACAAAGAAAAGTATTCTCATGACTTGCATTTCATATATTCAGTTCTTCTTAAATACACCTCTTAACTATTCCAAATCCTCTTGCCCTGTTGCTCTATTCGTCGTACCTTACGAATCTTTGGTTCTGTTCAGTGTCTGAATTATTAGTCTTTGGCTGTGTGGCTGATCAGTAGTATTTCAGCTCTATATATAAGGGAAGCTTGAAACGAGGGGCAGCAATGATGGCAGTTACGGGTGGGGTTCCTGCTTTGTGCCCATGGGTAATGATGGGTAACCACAGGATTTGAAGTCCCTACCCCTAGGCTAGCCTTCTTCCACAGATAGTCCACAGACTATGTCTGTGATCTCTTTGAAGTCTACCTCTTTCCTTCCTGTCCTCTTCTCACTCATTTGGGAAGGAACCACTTCTAGTTGATCTGGTGATCTGGTGACTTAGGAGAGAAGGCACTCAAGGGGTGGAGTAGGGTGGAGGTAAACAAAAGAACCTGGCATTTCCTGGTGTTTCAGTTTGTGCCTTACAAATACTGGTTTTTGTTTTTGTTTTTTTTTTTTTTTAACAAGACATTGACTTGAGCTCCATCCCTAACTTTTGCGGCTTTAGGATTTTTCTCCCTTACCCCCCCCCATTGGTTTCCTAACTCTTTTCAGCCTCTTCTGAAGCTTTCAAAGGACCAGAGCTTAAGTGCTGATATGTGTCTTAGAACAGGAAATGAGGGTAAGCACAGGGCCATTCAGTTTTAAACTAGAGTAAGAAGCAGGTTCCCATCTGCCCAATGAAGACCTGAGGAAGGGCTGCTCTGTTGGACATCAAAGCTTAGTGGAAACCCATTCAAGCCAGCAAAATGTCAATGAAGCCTGGGGGAGGGTTGTTTTGCTTTTCCTATCAGTATGGAAGAGTTTGTGGGACTCCCTCGCTTATGTGGACGGGCTGATGGCTTCTGCCTTGTGGGAAGGGAGTGTATTGTCTGGGGTGTGGAGCAGAAGGCAAAGCCCGGCTCAGCACATGGCACGCCTTCCCAGGAAAGCTATTTTCAGAACTCATTCAGCAGTATTGTTTGTGATCTGAAATGACTCCCACAGTGTTTGAAGCTGGATGGAAAAGCCCTTTGATCTGCCTAAATAAATAATAAAGAGACAAAGAGGTTTTTTTTCCCTTCCCATACTGATTAAACCACCAGAGAAATTCAGTTGCATATATTTTACAGGAAGATACGTATATTTTCTCCTCCCTCGGAAATTATTTGTGGATGTCACCCTTTTTCTGCAACAGAGCCTACACTGACTTGCCCTCCCTCCCTTTTTCCCTCCCTCCCTTCCATTTTTTTTTCCATTTTCTTTTTTTTCTCTGTCTGTGTGTCTGTCCCTCTCTGTCTCCCTGTCTCTCTCTGGTTCTGGATACGGACCTTAAACCCTTAAGCATGCCAATCAATGCTCTATTACTGGCCATGACCCCAATCTGCAGCCCCTCTCAAGCACTAGCATTTTCACACAGGGGTTTTCTCGAAATATTATTTCTCTGTGGGACAGGAATACAGTGATGTGCTTGATTGATATGTCCTAAATCAAAGGAAGAAGTTTGGGTGTGCATTAGGCAAATTCTAACCCTAAGCTTTTTGCAGGCCCCAGTGTGAGGGAGTGGCACCTATTGACACTTTCTTGGCAAGAGAAGGTAGTTGAACAGCTTTGCCAAAGTGTACTGCTTTTAGGTGGTGACACATTTTTTTCTTTTTATTTCCTTTAAGCAATTAGCTATACGGTTAGTGAGTACCCTTTCAAGTGACTGCTGCTAACACCAATTGGAAGACAAACTTCTTAGTTCTTAATCCACAAATTACAGATCAGGATGCAAAGCAAGCTTTTTGGACATATTGATGTGGAAAACAACAACAACCTTTGTTTGCCTTTAGAGGTACAGTGAAATGGTGGAGATTTGCTGTTAAAATGAGCAAAATGTTACAAACAATTATTCGATTACTTCATCTTCCCTGTGTTCTCCTCCCCACTTAAAAAATAAATATCTTGAATGCCCAGAACTCCAGATGGGAAACAAGGCCAAGCCATCTGAAAAATTCTAAAATTTCTGAATCTGTCTTTCTAAATGCTGAGCCTTTCTGCATCCGGGGTTTATACATTTATCAACTGCTTTTAAAAATTGAATCATTTCTGTTTATAAAGCAGCCAGCTCCTTTCAGTTGTTGAAATCTTGCCCAGTTCTGAAATTTCTTGAAATTCTTGTTGAGTGGAATCTCAGGGTGATCTGACACTGTAGTTCAGCAGAGCTGCTTGTGAAAGAGGAACCATCGGAAATTCACAGCCAGCTCCAGGATTCACAGATTCACCATCCCAGAGCCTGTAAGAGGAACTGTTCTAGTGGTGAGGATAGCCGGGGCTCTGAGCTGTTGGTGGCGCCTCCTCTGATGCAAGTGTGCATGGATAGGATTGTGCATCTGTGAGCAGGTGTGTGCATATGTGCTTATGTGTGTGTGCATGTGGGTATGCATGTTCGGGGGTGCTGGGCAGGGTAGGGACTCCCAGTCATGGGAAGTAGTAGGATAGAAAGTGCTGTGTCAGCTGGGTAGAGTGGCTTTCCCTTAGTGTCCTCACAAGCTGTCTTTGGGACTCTCCCTAGACGCTCCCCCACCCTGCTGCCTTTGGGGAGGACCAAATTTGAGTCGGTAACCTCCGTCCCGCATGAATGGCCAGGCTATCTCCTTTTCTGCAGAGCACCAGTGGTGCAGGTAGTCTTCAGAAGGCGTAGGACGAAGGGAGGAAAGTAGCAGGGAAAGCAGGCCAGGTCTTCCATGGGATCGTATGACTCTGTTGTCCATGGGTGGCTTGTTGTTCCTGATTAATGTGTCAGTGGGGAATGATTCTGGCTCCTGTGGAGTAGAGGGACCTGGACAGTGTGCTGCCCACACGGCTGCTACTTTTATTATTTTGCTTATCATCACTCTTGTTATTATTATTTAATTTTAAGTGTGGTTTTGCTTCCCGTGTCATTGCCCCTATTTCTCCCCTACCCATCTTTCCTTTTTCTCAGGGGCAACTTCATCTCAGTGCTAACACTGTCATACTTTTTCGAGGTGGGTGGATGTCGGAGTCCAGATGGAATTCCCTTGCTAGAGGGCTTTCTCTCCTTTCACAACTGTCCAAGCGTTTGCTTATTTGCAAACCTGCCAGTGACTGACTGCCTTGGTTTTCCAACATGATGCACTGAGATCTGTTTCCTTTGCCAGCCTGGGGAACTGAGGGGCCGCTGCCTCTTTTCTGTTTATCTTCATCTTGGGCTTATCTGACTATGGAGACCTCTTTCCGGGAGCTTTATAGTCCTTTCCTTCCTGGGGCCCCTGGGAGGCTGTGTACTATCCAGGGCCTGGAAAGGCCTTTGAGCCTCTAGGCCAGGAGGGAAGCCAATGGCCTACTCTGTTTTAGAGAAGGGCCTGGTTTGCTTGATGGGGCCCAGGGGAGGTGTGAAGAGGTAGCCCAGTTTGGAACTGAGTGTTCAACCTTTAAAACACCTCGTAGGCATTCGGCTTCCAAATCCTGGGAATGAGGATGAAATATAATGTAGTCATATTTTGCCTTAAATTTTGAAAGCTTGATTAGAAAACATGAAGTTTAAGTCCCTCTCTTCTGTCTAAGAAATATAAAATCTCCAGGAAACACGAAGACATGTTTTTCCTCTAGGGACACATAGGAATGATAATGGCTCTTACTCAAACAGGAAAGAAGGCGCATTCTCTATTTTATCTGTGAGGACACCAAAGGCCCATAGAATGGAAATGGGAATTCTTTACCAAATAAGTTTATAAACAGTTTTTTGTTTATAAACAGGCTTTTGATGCAGTGAGTGTTTTGGGCTTTTGGAAAGAAAGATTGGGTATAACATGTGTCATGTCAATTCTTCTGTGCCCAAGCAGTTTGCTTGCTCTCTTACTATATTCAGTAATAATATAGAGACATACATATGAATTTAGAAGAATGTGCATATACCAGAGGTGTACATAGGGCTGAGGGATAGATCCAGGGTTTGAACAGGTTTGAGGGCTTTTGTGATCATCTAGGTTATGAAGTATCCTGAAATTTAATGTAATGATTTTTCCTCATTTAACGATCTAGCTGTTTAACAACTGTTCAGACTTAAGACTGAGGTGTGCAGTTCAGACTTACAACCTACCATACAGACTTACAACCCATCTTTATTTTTTTGTACAGCTCTGTGTACCTTGGTTATAGAGTCCCAATGTCTTTTTTTTACAGTATACCTTATTTATACAGTACTGTAATTTTTGCTGACTATACTGTATGGTATAGTACTGTAGTTTTATGTTCTGTTATACATTACAGTAGTGTATGTAAGAGTTATGCAAATAAAAGCAAACTCATCAAGTTGGAGTTTCCTTTGACCATTTCTTTGTTCTGAATATTATAATGTACGTACTATATACAATTCTTCATTTAGCGACCAATTCATTTAACAACCTAGTTAAACAAGTAACGTCTGTATTAGCAAGTGTTTGGCATGATTTTGTAGCTGTAAAAAGCCATTAGAGTAAGGAGCTTTGGTAGGGATACTAATGGTAACTGGAGTGTCGGGAGAGTCATGTGCTTTAGCATCTGGAATGCCAGTTAAAAGTTAATTGCTTCTGGTGGCTTTGTCCCAGTTCCGCCATGAAATTTATACAAAGTAGCACAAATGGTATCCCATAAGTAACATGATAACAAGGTCATCCTGTCTCACTGGGAGATAGATAAGAGACTGTAATTGTTATTGAGCTAAAAATGTGAAGACCCCAGCATTTTGCAATTCATTTGCAACCTCAGGAAAGAAACAGGCATTTGCAGGTTAAGTAATTTGAAAGGTTACAGATAGTAAGTAGTACAAATGTCCAAACTCTCCCTGTTGGGATCTAACTCCCATACTCTTAGGCATCTTCCCTCCCTGCATTGAGAAATATCAAGTGTAGGACAAGTACCCACAGAGAGAACTGAGTGTTGGGTTAGTTGGGCATGGGCTGAGAGGAGGATGAACAAGCTTTTTGTCTTCAGTGTGCACCAACAGATATTCTTCCTGATATGGTAGTGATGATAGTAGAAAGTGATCCTTTCACATACTCTGACTGTTTCTCTTACTGGCTGATAGGCATTATGTACAAATTATTTATACCCAGATATTAGTATTTTGTACCTGGTAACTAGAAAAAAAAAAAAAAAAACAAAGGAAGAACCATATTCAACAAAGTACTGGAGTTCTCCTTCTGGAACTTTCTATAAGCATTAGTCTAGGGTTCTGAACATTAGTGCACAGAAATCAATGCATTAACTCACTCTGATACTCAGCAAATCACTTCCCTTCTCTGGGCTTTAAATTCTTGTAGAATGATGGTGTTGAGTGACAGTTTCGTTACGGCCTTTCCAGTCCTTACATTTATGATGCAGTACATCAGAAATAGGATATACTGTTGCCCATTACCTCCTCCAAGGTGTGGTATTGTTACTACTAAAGAATACCATTAAATCATTGGTGACTACAATGATTAATTATTATTTCGTAGGGTTTCTTCTGATAGTACTGGAGAATACTGGATTCTGTATCCCTGGCCATTGTATTTATTTACTATTTTATTTTGAGATAGGGTCTTACAATGTTGCCAGGCTGGCCTTGAACTTCCAGTCCTCCTGTCTCAGCCTCCTAAGTATATTTGGTATATTTAGTGTCTTTAAATGAATATATCAGGTCTCAAGGGCAGGTGCAGATAGGAAGATAAAGGCAGTTTTGATAACTGTTTGGTTTTTGCCTCTGCATAAGTGAAACTTAGATTCTAAATTTGAAATCTTTATGTTTGATGGACCACATATATAATATTATTTCTAACATTAGATTTTGTTTATGATAATGACATGAAAATTACCTTATAGAAGAACTGCAATGAATGTAGATCCATATAGCCTTTGAATTTTTTTTTTTTTTTCGTTCAGAAGTCATCTGTTTCAAATCCTATGGTATCACACCTCTCTCTGCCAGGCAGTGTCATGGGAGGTTGAGCCAGTAAGAGCTGTAGAGATCTTTGCAGAAGTCTCGTAGTCTATGTCTGCCTGCTCATTTGGCAGGTGTCTTGGGGGCATCAGAAGCTTCCATGTGTCATTTTCTTGTTCCATAGTACATCAGGAGAGAACCTGACCAGAGCCTGCCCTTCATGTTTTCCAGGCCAACACAGGACATCTCATTGACATTGTCAGCCAGGAGCTCTCAACCTCACAGCCCAACTTCTTCCCTGACATCCGGAGGTTCCTTGCCCTTGCTGCAGTCTCCACCATCTACTAGATTGTCTCCTGCCCAGCATCCCTTGGTCTTGAACCAGGGGGACCACTCAGCTCACCTGCCTAGGCCCCAGCAACATTTCCTTCCTAATCAGGCTCACCAGGGGGATCATTACCGTCTCTCCCAACCAGGCCTGAGTCAGCAGCAACAGCAGCAGCAGCAACAGCAGCAGCAACAGCATCACCACCACCAACAGCAGCAGCAGCAGCCAGGAGAAGCCTATTCAGCTATGCCTCGGACCCAACAGTCTGCTTCTTACCAACCAATGGCAGCTGACCCTTTTGCCATTGTCTCCAGAGCCCAGCAGATGGTTGAGATCCTCTCAGATGAGAACCGAAACTTGCGTCAGGAGTTAGAAGGATGCTATGAGAAGGTGGCAAGACTGCAGAAGGTGAGCCTCTTGGAGGACTTTAGGGCCTCCTTAAAATCTTACTGGTGGGACTTAATAGCCACATAAAGGTTTCCCATTGTGGGTGGTTGTATTACATTCAGGCAGATCTTCAGGGTTTTTCTGTCTGAAGGCTGGATATGCTTAAAACTTTGGAAAAAGTCTTCTGCTTGTCTCTCCAGGAGAGGTAGTAATTTTACATTTATATTAAGAGAAAAGAAATTATTAGTTTTAAGATACCATAGTTCATAAGTAGTTGTTCTAGAATTCAACAAAGAGCAAGGATACCTCTTCATAAAGTTAAGAACACTGGTGATGCCTGTGTCAGTGAGGAACCTGCCAGCATTTGAAAGTTTTCTGTTTTGATTATCTCTTCCCCAAGATAAATTTGAAACTAAAATATAAAACCATAGCTCATAGTTGTAAAGAAATCTCATCTGCTGCAGTTAAAGCCTGACCTGCCTTGTTCTGGGAAAGGATGAGAGTTTCCCTCCTAGTGGGAGTTCTCCTAGTAACTTTTTCAGCACTTTTCCCCTTCCCCCTTTTTGCTTTGGTCTTTTTGAGCAGCTCAGATTCAACATCTGCTCTTTTTCTTCGGCGCATGGGGGGGGCAGGAAGAGCTTAGCATCACAGCTGTGTAACAGGTGACAGCCCTGGGCTAAGGAAGTAGAAAAAGAAGTGTGTGTTCCAGTTCACATTCTTCCCAGAGCCCCTCCTATCTTCTGCAGCTGAGATTTTGGCTCTTGAATGCCCAAGCTAAGAGCCTACCTTAGCTCTTAGCCTCTAGTGGCTGTTTGGTGAATAGGGCTATGGCTTTGACAGCCACTTTGCAGCTTTTGTCCTTGTGGAGCTTGTGTAGCATGATATCCCTGCACTGTACACTGTTGGGGGAGGTGAGGCTGAAGGTGCGGGAGGGAGGGGCAGTTACCTTGTATTGTTTAGCACCTTTGTCCTCAGGAGACACTAGGAGAGGAAATTTCAGAATGAGACTGAAAATTTGCAAACACCAGATCTCAATCCTAAGAGAGAGGGAGGTTTTATTCTCACTTAATTATTTTCATGTAGCAAAAAATCTCCCCCAAGCCCAATTTCCCCAAATCCTGATGGGGGCTGTTGAAGTGAAATAAGATCCCCTTCTGCCTGGATTCACCCCAGTTTTGTATTTTCTCCCTCCTCTCATGTTCACTATACCCCGCGTCACATTGGTGCAATTAATGAATTCTATGTATACACTACAAATGCAGTCTGGTGGATTTGGCTGACAGTTAAAGTCCCTCTGGAAACTTTTAATTCAGGGTGGCCCCTGACCCATCTTTGATGCTGTCACTGAAGGGTGAACGCAGATCTTCTACAAGACCTCTTTGCAAAGAATCTGTGGTGATTTGGGTGTGTGTGTGTGGGGGGGTGCCAAGAAAAGGAGGATAGGATTGTTTGTTGCTGTTTCTCGTTGCTCGCTCCCCTGGATGTGAAATGATAGCTCAAATAAGCATAACTGGCACAGGCTGAGGATCAGAAGTAGAGGCCAAACAAATATGAAAGTGGAGTTCAGAAGTAGGTTTGGGAGAAGAGGGAAAGGAAAATGGAGAGAATAAGGTGCATACCAGATGATTCTGGAAAAAGAACCCTGAAGCTCATGAGTGTAATAAAGAGACAGAGCAGGTCTGGAAACCGACCACCACCCTCCCTCTTTCCTGTCCCTTCCATCCCCCAAACCTAACCAGTGGCTCTGCCCTCTCTTAGTCACTTTCTTGTCACTGAGACATAATACCCAACATGTGCAACTCAAAGGATGAGAGGTTATTTTGGCCCAAGGTTTCAGTCGAGCTGCTCATGTCATTGTAGCCAGGAAGCAGTGAGAAGAGGGAGCAGCCCAGGAGGGAGACCGCCCTTTCATGTCACACCCCCAGGAGCCTCCCTAACCAGGCCCCACATCCCGGATAGCAGTTGAGCTGTAGTGACCCCGTAATCCAATCACCTTCCCGGAGCCCTGCCTCTGAGCACGTGGAGCTCTGGGGAGACATTCCACATCCAAACCACAGCATGCCCGTCTGTGAGTTCTTTCCTCAAAGAGGCTTTGCTGGCAGATGTGTGACTTGCTTTGCCCCTTTGAGGGGTTCAGTATCTCCACAGGGGCCAGGCGAAGGATTAGTATCAAATCTTACAACAGCAGTGTGAGTACTGTGAGTACAGGGCCTGCCTGCCAGGTGTGGCATTCTGTGGGGAATTGGGAAGAATTGCTTACTCCCTCGAGGCTGCCCAGAGCAGACCAACACCAGGCCTGCTGTTTCACATGAAAATGTTTATTTTCTCTGCCTAGCACTTGAATTTCGTGAAAAAAGCCTCATCAGGCGCAGGCCTTGCAGATCTTGTCTCTAAATGCCATTCGCCAGTTTTCACCTTCTGTGCTGCTATCTTGGTGCCATCTGTAAGGAGAAAAACACTTTCAAGTCTGCTCTTTTCAGTGGTATAAGCCTCTTTGTTTCTAGGCAGTCCTGTCTCAGGCAGGATTTTAGAGATGGAGGCAGGTTCAGTCGGAGTTGTCTGGTAACCCAACCCCCCACCCCACAACCTTCCCACTGGCAGCCTGATATTTCTCCTAGTAAAGTACCCTGAGCGTTGTTAAGGAGGATAGTGGAAAGTTGAGAAGGACTGCAGAATGGTTGTAGGCCATGGGGTTTATTTGTATTATACAAATTATATGCAAATAATTTCTCTGGTTATTACATGTGCGATAAAGCTATACTGGTTACAGAAAGACTCTGGAGTCCAATTTCTTGTTTTCTTCTTTGGGACAAGGTCCTTTGTCTTTGGTGTTTTTTTTTTTCTTTTTCCATTTTACAAGATTTGCAGGGGTGTCATAAAGCAACTCTAATCATGAATTTCTCTTAAAAAAACCTGTACCGGTTTTCCACTGACTGTGGGATAAAGTTCAAATGCCTGGCATTAAAGCCCTTTTATGATCTGACTCCAATCTATCTTTGTAGCTATATCTCTCCAGCTTTCCTCTGTGTACCCCACAGTGTCCAGCCAAATGAGACTACTGGTCATTCTGGGAACGCATTTGCTCACTCAGAATAGAATACCCTTCCCCTCACCTCTGCCCATTGAAATCTGATCCAGCTTTCAGGATCTGACTCTGAATGCCACCTCCTCCCTGAAATTGTTCTTCTCCTCCCTCCCCCAACTAGGAATAACAGCTTCCTTCTCTGCACTTTATAGCATGACTCCTTCTTTTCTTAGAACTGTATCTTGCCCTGTACTCTTTGACTAGATTGAAAGCTCCTTGAGGGCAGTGACAGTGTTCTCGTTCATATATAAAAAACCCCATTATGATTTAACCAACTCTTACAACTGCTTGACCCTTCAAATGTTTGTTAAATTGAATTGAACTATATACTACATGAGGTTGAAACTTCAGGTCTTTAAGGATTGCCTGTGCTGCTGAAGTGCTCTTGAAAAAGGCAGCTTAAGTTTTCTGTCTGCTAACATGGGGTATCCTCGCCTAGGCAGGTATCAGGACAAACAGAAATAAGCATGTAAAAACTTTTAGAAGCTCCATATGTATTAATATTAATGTTTTCAAAGCTAAGGAATTTATCAGAAATTAAGATAATTAATAATCCTATTTATGAAGTATATTTTCTTTTTGGAAGTGTATTCTGCCTTACTTTGTACTCTGATGGCAGAAATTGTATATGTGGATGTATCTGTATATATGTATCAGAAATCTCATGAAACAATGAGATACTTCCTGAGCTACAGTTGAACTTGGGAAGTCTTACTTGAAACTTTTCTTTTCTGACAGTAATAGGGTTGCTTCATGTGTGAACCCGCTGAAAAGCTGTAACTGAGGTTTTGCAAATGTTTTCAGACCTTCTTCCTCATCAACCTCCTTCCATGACCACCATATTTCCTTTTGATGTTTAGGTGGAGACAGAAATCCAGCGGGTCTCGGAAGCATATGAGAACCTAGTAAAGTCATCCTCCAAAAGAGAGGCCCTGGAAAAAGCCATGAGGAACAAGCTGGAGGGCGAGATTCGGAGGATGCATGACTTCAATAGGGATCTGAGAGGTGAGGGGACTAATTGGCTTATCTTTGTATTTCTCAGGCAGCTGAGAGGTGGTGATAGGGAGAGAGCTCAGGAAGACTGGATCAGGCTCTTTGAGGTTGTCCAACTCATTGATGCAGTCAGTTACTTTCAGGGCCTATCCAAGGCTATTTTTGTATGCGCGTGCGTGCGTGCGTGTGTGTGTGTGTGTGTGTGCGTGTGTGTGTGTGTGTGTGATGACAATAATATGTGGTCTCAAGTTTACTTAATCTAAGTTGGGGGACATGCCTGACTGGCCTTGTAGTCAGTTTGTAAGGCAGAAACCTTACTGGGATCCCACCCACCCCTCCAACTAATGTAGACTGTTTTCTCTTATATGTGTGGTAGAGGCATGTCTTTGGATTGTGCAAGTCTAAACTAGTAATGCTCTCTATTATTTCTAGGGCTCACTCCCTCTTTCATTTTTACTTTCACTGGATAGTATTGAAGATGCTGAAAAATATTTCTACTTTAAATCATCAGCACCTTCAAACTCATCTTGGAGATGTTATTTTCTATCTTTGGGTTTCAGCTATTTGTAAAATTGGAGCTTAACCACATGTTGCCATGGTCTATTTCTAGCTTTGACATTACCTGACTTTAAAGACTTCATGATAAATGTGATGTCCTTTTTCCTGGTTGATGAGAGATAGCTTTATAAATTCAGGGGTAAATCATTTCATTGACATTTAGAATTCTCCACTTAGACCTTGGCAGCGAGGAGTGAAAGTGTCGGGTGCCTACCCCCTTCTTCCTTGCCATGGTCTAGTATTTCTTTGGAATTCCCATTTGCAGACCTGTGTTTGTGTCACCCATTTCTGTTTAACAAGAAGTTGCAGACTTGTTTTGCTGAAAGTCAGTATTAGAGAGCAAACAGCATGTGCCTGAAAGTTTGTTTTCAGGGCTCAGTTGATTATCTCCAAATTCCACAGAGCGTCTAGAGACTGCCAATAAGCAGCTTGCGGAGAAGGAGTATGAGGGGTCAGAGGATACCAGGAAGACCATCTCTCAGCTCTTTGCAAAAAGTAAGTCTGAAAGCTTCAGGAGCAGGTATGAATGTGGATGGGTGTGGGGCATGTGAACAGGTTCACCTGTTCTCTGTAACTTTCTAGAACCAGAACAGAATGAATGTCATCTAGGGTGTCTTTTTCTTATACAAGCATGAAATTGGAGGTGTTCAGTTATTTTTCATTTGGGCCAAGAAAGCTGTTTGCCCCAACATCTAGTAACATCAAATGACTCCCTTTGTATTCAACCAGATAATTTCCTTGGAACTCTGCTATTGGCATAGATAGCTGAAGAAGTAACCTTAGTGGACGCGGGGTCCTTTAATGTAGAAAGGATTTTCTTAGAAGATTCCGTGTGCTGGGTCTGATAGAGATGGGATGAACCCACAGGATTAATTATTAGTGTTTGGAATAACTAACCCACACATGAGGCTTCTATAGTTAAACACTTAGTATTGTATCATTTTATTCCACATTGGCACATGGCAAGGGTAGCTGAGCAAGGGAGGCACTACTATGGTCTGAACTAGTGAGGGTGTGGGCCAGGATAGAGCTGTGTTTTCCTCATAATAATAATTTCTTTGTCTGGAAATACTCCTAGGACAGTGACAATGAATTAATATTCTTCTGTATCTGTCCCTAATGGACTCTACTCAGCTAGACAATGTCTAATTCTTTCCAACTGACATAATAAAAGCAGCAATACAATTTTCATAGTGGACTGAGTCCACAGGGAGAACAAGTTGGGGGAAGCAGATGAACTACCCTCATTTCCAAAGATGCCTGAATTTGGTATCCCCTACTCCCAGCCTCCGCTTTGTGGTTCCCACTTTCATGGTTGGTGCGGACTTGTCAGCCTCTTCCATTTTAGCGGGGCCTCCCAGTCGCCCTTTCAAGTCATTCCATGCAGCTTCCAGTCAGCTTTTACAAGGTTGTTTGATCCTTATTTACAATATTCCCCTCCCTTCCTGGGTTGTTCTGTTGTGTTCTCGTTTCAGAACAGAATTTTTCTTTCTCTTTCCCCCCTAGAGCCTCTTGTTTCTTTGTCAATAGTCTTAGAGCAAGGAATGTTGTTTTTCTGGTGTCATCAGTGCCTAGGGTGATTTGTAAAGTTGCTTTTGTGGTGTCTCAGTTACCCTAGAAGCTTGTTTGGTGGCAGATGGAGGCTGGCAGCCTCCCAGAACAAAACATGGATTCACGCCCCAGACCTGTTAGTTTGTACTTTTCTCTCTAGAGAGATGGTATTTCAGGTGTTCTGAGAACTCTGCTATGGGTTTATAAGATGTTGTAATTTACTAGATCAGACTACATTAGCAGCAATGTTAAAGACTATCCAATAGCTCTGGAACTAGTTATGGAAGAGAACATGACTCTTGGCAGCACCCCCCTCCCCACATTTTTTTGCTTTTGGACATTGACAAGGCCCTGGTTGGTTGGGACTGTGATAGGAGGAAAGAAAGCCCTTGTGGAACGCTTCCGTGGAGGGTATGGTCCAGCTAGGTCAGAGACCAAACCAACTCAATCCAGAAGGCAGATAGGTGTAGTAGAAAGAGTGTAGAATATGCTGGGCTTAAATATGGGCTTGAGTTTTTATTTACCATTTGTGGAACTTTATGCAAGTTAGTCATGATCTCTAAGTCTGTTTCCTGCTATGCACAATAAAGAAGAAAATAATACCTGCCTGGAATGGCTGTTTTGAAGAATAAATTAGTAAAATACCTGATATGTGATAAGTGTTTAACAAATGTTCGCTGTCCAAGGATGTCCCCTGAAGAGGAGATGGCGATGTCATCTTTCCCACCCATGGAATAGGATGTAGGTTCACTGATGTACATCACAGAAAAGAATTATAGGATGCATCAGTGAGAGACATTAGAAGGGTTTATTAGACAGAAGTAAAGAATTATGCACTCACAATAGCGTACAAGACCTCAAGAGACAGATGCATTATGGTCTGGGACTGGGAGGTTTTCTATGGTCTTGGGGTGTTCTCAAGATGGGAAGTCTAGGATGTGTATTCTTACTGTCTAACTGACCACCGTTTGGTGGGCTAGATCAGAATACAAATCATTTGTATGTGTTTGATATTTAGAGATATGCTACCTACTTAGTAGTGCTGCTTCCTTAAAGATGGAAGTCTGGTAGGAAAAACACAGGTTCAATTTATAGGGTTTTTTTTGTTTTTTTTTTGGTTTTTCTCTGGTACCGGGAACCGAACTCATGGCCTTACGCTTGCCGGGCAGGCGCTTTGCCGCTGAGCTAAATCCCCAGCCCCGGGTTTTTTTTTTTTTTTGAGTCAGGATCTTGCCGTGCAGTTCAGGCTGACCCTGAACTCACTATGCAGCCCAGGCTGGCTTCAAACTCATGGTGATCCTTCTGCCTCAAACTCCAGAGTGAGGGGATTACAGGCATGTACCACCACACCCAGCAGCTTATTATATTTTTAAGACACTTTTTTGGAGTTTACCAAAAGGGAAAAAGAAGTTGTAAGCTTGTGTAAGTTTGTGTCTTGAAGCTGCAGGTCTTCCTAAAAGCACAATTTTAAAATTATGACTTTTCTTGTCTCTTTCTATCTTTATTTCTTCTATTCCAGCTCATTTCCTGTCCCCCTGAGACTTTGACTCCTTATTCTCTCTCTTTTGTTTTTCAGTATTGGGTGTTGAACCCAGGACCTTTGCACTGAGCTAGCACCTCCCCTGATCCTGTGATTATTACTTTTAGACAAGGTTTTGCTAAGTCACTAAGTACCTCAGGCTGGGCTCAAACTTGTGATTCTCCCTCCTCAGCCTCCTAGAAGGCTGGGAATATAGGCCCACAACACCATGCCAAGTTGATTCCTTATTCTTAAGGGATTCTGGGGGTCCAAAGTCTGTCTTCTTATGGCTGCTTCAGGCTGACAAGAAGGCTCTGATCCTGCCTACCTGGGGATCGAAAATCTCATCCCGGCTGATCTAAAAAGAAAGATATCCCAGAAGGGGGAGTTTTTTTGCTTGTTTGTTTGAAGAACCATTATCCTTTGATAGTTTGCGAATATTTTTCTTTCCAAATGTGCATCTAGTCAAACAGATATATGTAAAGTCACAGTGGGAAGGAGAATGAAGCTATCTTATGGAAGTTCCTACAGCCTTAAAGTTCAAAATTTCAAGAATAAAGGTGCTTAACTTCGAAATCCAAACCAGAACTGCACGGTTGAGTTTCTGGCATGAGGTCTGCCTAGCTAGAAAGGCAAGGGACATAACTCCACATGTCATGGTCCCCAATAGCTATAATGGAATCCTACATTAAGAAACACAGGTTTGCTAATTTTGTAGGTCTTTTGAGCCTCAATCTTCTCATTCTAAGAACTAGTAAAAAAGAGTGTCACATCCCAATACAAGGCATATTTTGAAGCAACAGATTCCCTCTGATCATTAATTATGGTAATGATGATCATCATCTTCTTCATGAGGTAAGTTCCTTTGGTGTTTCATCATGCTTTGCAATGTTTTTTTCATTTATATAAATTCACTGTCTCATTTGATTCTTAATAAATAATATGTGCTTAAATAAGATAGTATTGTTACCTCTGTTTTAATATCTAGCAATTTTAATTCTTTCTTAGAATATCCATCTTTTCTGTTTATATTACTCATCTATTTCTGGGTACTGTCTACTTCTTCATTAAAACCCTTAGCATATTAGTCATAGTTGTTTTAAATTTATCCTGTGATAATTCCAGCATCCTGCCCTGATTCTGATGGCTTTTTCTGTCTTCAAACTTTGTGTTTTACCTTTTAGCATGTCTTGCCTTTTTTGGTGTTGTTGTCGAATGTCTGACACGATGCATGGGGTAAGAGGAACTGTGGTGTACAGGTATTAGTACTCCTCTCTGATGTAGTGGTAAGGTACGTGTAGGAGAGGGAAGTGTTCTGTAGTCCAATTATTAGTGGACTTGTGGACTATGGATTTTGCAAGTACCTCTAAATTTTCTCCCCACATTAAGGTAATACAGGATAGCCAGAGAAGGTGAGAAGTGGGTATTTCCTTCTCTAATGTGGAAGGCATGGCCAGGCTGGAATTGAATATTTCCCTTCCCCTAGGGTAGTTATGATCTGGGGCAAAAAATCCAGTAGGTTAGACTCTAGTTAAATAATTTTCCTTGAAGGTAAGCCTTGTTAAGAACAAGGTGCACTGGCATTTGTCTTAATGGTTACTTTCCTCATCCCTCTGTTAATAACAAAAGAAGATATTTTCTCTGATCTGAACTATATGAAACTGATTAAGCTCCTGCAGGTAAAATTCAAAAGCATGGAAGTTCCCTTATGACTGAGGTACGTTGGGAGTTAGCAATTCATCAATCACAGTTCAGAATTTCCTACCTTATTAGGAGTTCTGCTGACATTTCTGTGCATGGATTTACGGTTTTTAAAATTAATTTTATTGGTACTCTTTTGAGATACATAATGATCACATTTATTGTGGGGAATTTGTACATGTACATAATATATATTGATTCTTCTTTTTTTCTGCTCCATTCCCTTCAACTCTTGTCTTCCTATTCTCTTGTTTTTCCTTTTCTTTTCCTTCCCTTCCTCCTGCCCCCTCCATTGTTCCCCTTCCCATTTGAACATTTTCTATCTACTTAATATCTATCTTCCGTTTTGGTCCTTATTCATGTTTTCAGTTTCTAATATAAGAGTAACAATGTCATATTGAAACATGTGTGTCTGATTTATTTCACTTAAAATTATGTGCCTCAAGGTGCATCCATTTACCTAAAAATGTCTCAAGTTTATCCTTCTTTATTGAAGAGTAGCACTCCATTGTATAAAAATACCCCACATATTCTTTATCTGTTCATCTGTTGATGGGAATCTGGGCTGTTTCCAAGATATGAGTGTTATAAACTATGCCGCTATAAACATGGGTGTGAATATATTACTGTGGTATGATGCTTTTAAATTTCAGGGAAGATACCAAGAATGAAAATAGCTGGGTGGAATGGAACCTCTACTTTTAGTTTTTTGAGAAACCTCCAC